GGCGCCGGTGCCGCCGATCCGGTCGGCAGTGGAAGGCCGCAGCAAGCGCCCGCCAGGCTTCCCGAGCCGGGAGCCGCGTCTCCGTACCGCAGTAATCCGCCACGGCTCCGAGTCTTTCACTCAAGCCCTGTGAGCGTCTGCGTACGCAGCGCCCTGGCGCAAGGGTGTCTGTGGTTACGTGTCGTGGTGCTCGAAGAGTAACTTCCCTTCCCTTTCCTTCTTCTGAGTTACTCCACCATCCTCTAGTTCCGCACTGGATGAGGCTGAAGAAGGTGTTGTAGTCGCTCTCTGTTCTGTGGTTAAGTGCATGCCAGTGGCCTTGGAGCTGCGGTGCCAGAGGACGTACGCGGGGCGTCTGAGTGGAGACGTTTTTCTTGTAGTGCTTGGAGCTGCTCGGCTTAAAAAGTGGAAAAGTTCTTGTCTTTCTTTTTTCCCTAGGAGATAATGACTACTTAATCTCTCTTGCTGGCTCTGACATCCCCTGTACTCCACAGGGACCAGCTGTCTCTTCTCTTAGTTTTTTATCGATACTTGGAGGATTTTTCCTCAAGTCCTGTTTAGCTCTGATATTTACTGCTTCAGTTTCAAATCTGAAGTGTGTTTTGTGCCTGAAAACTTGCCTGTCCTCAGAAACACCTTGGAAATATGTCTTCCAGGCAGTCCTTAAAGTACGTGGATCACCAACAGATGTTCTGTATTTCTTCCAAAGTGTGATTGTTTAATAAATATGGATAGATCACTGCTGTGTTCTGGTTCTGTAGCACATCTGTAGTAACACTATGTAGTCTGTTAACTTCTCATCTTAAGAAACAAAAAAACCTCTAGCCTGGCGACGTTGGCTTTGTAGCATTCATTGGAAAGCTGGCAAGGTGGATGTGTATTGATAGATGAAAAATACTGAATGTTATGCATGTCACAGAAGGGTGGGGAATTACTGACCTAGTATACATTTTTGTTACTCAGTTGGGGGGGAAGTACATATAGGGAAATCCTTTTCTATAGTTTAAAAAAAGTAAGAAAAAAACCCCTCCACTTTGCTCCTAAGTTCCATGAACTGCATAAATCACTGTTAGAAAAATCTCATTTCCTTCCTCCCATTTCAAAATCATGTGAATGTACAGCTGCAGTTTTACAATTTTCAAGTTCAAGAGCTGCTTGATTGTTGCTGCTTTTCATCTTAACTATGGTTTCTGTCACAGTTTTCTTCCAGCAAGAAAGGAAAATCTTATCATGCAGAGAATTTCAAGTGGCTTTGAGATTCTATATTTGTATTCAATTTGCAAAACCCCCATTCATGATACAAAAGTAAAAGATATATTTTAATACTTAAATTTTCTGTAAGCAGAATTTTGCAAATGAAATGTTTGTTGTTTACTGTTAGTATTAGCACATCCAGCTTCAGTAGTTTACTAACTTGCTGGTAGAAGTGACTGTGAAATAGGGCAAAGACACTGACTGCAGAAGATTTTGCTCCTCTTTGGAGTGATTCTTCTTAAATACAGCTGTATACCTTTGTTTGCCAGAGCTGTGTCAGGCCTTTTGCAGAGTGTTAGCTGTGCCTCTGCAGCTTACTCAACATGAGTGTTCTAACTTCTTCCAGCTGAGTCACCTTCCATATGATCAAAGTTGAACTCCTTCTTGTTTGCTGGTTGGTTTTTTTTTCCTATGTATCTTGTGGTCAGTCATAACGTGACACCTAATCAGCTGTTTCTCTCCTTCCGTTTTGCAGTGTTATCAACACAATGCTGGTGACATGTGCTGTTTGCTGCTACCTGTTGTAAGTATAAATAATGCCTTGCTTCTTAATCAAGGCACAGTTCTGATGTAATCAAAAGTTCCATTTTTTCTATCTTCAATACGTTTAGGAATAAGCTTGGTTTGGTTGAATGTATTCTCAAAATCTGGTAGCAGTGGGTGGAAAACCTTATACGTGGGTTTTTTTGATATATGACAGACAATTTTTGTGACAAACTTGTGATGATTTGATATATTAAGACTGTTTCTTTTTAAATGCACAGTATATTTTGAGGCTGCCTTTTTCCTGCAAGAGAATTGTTAGAAATAGCAAAATTAATTGTTGAGGAACTCCTCATACCATGTTTGGTGTTTTGTCAAAAGGTAAGCCAGCTGTAACAGGAGTCTGCAAGAGAAAGCGTGGTTATCGTTTTCTCTTTCTCTTTTTTTATTTTTTATTTTTGTTTCTTTCTTTTTTTAAGACAGAGACTGATTTTGCCAAAGAAAGTGCTATGCAGAAATAACTTTGAAAGGTGTTTGGGAAGAATTTGTTGTGGAGAGTAAATTGGTAAAAGTCTGGTTAGATCCTTAGGGTTAACTTGTCATAAAATCATTATCCAGAGTTCCACTTGAACGTGAGTAGTATTTGTACTTTCCTGAAGTATCTAGGCATTATTTACGCTACCCAAAGGAGCTTAACGTGGATGTTTAGAGAAATGCATCTCTAATCTCAAGACTCATTCTTAAGAGCTGGCAGCCAAAAGGCGTATTGCCAGCGTCGGCATGTTGCAGGAGAGGCCTGTTTGGTTCCGTGTTGGGTTGGCCTGTGGCACAGGCATATGCAGGTTTAATCTAGTTTAATAATGTGATATTCAGGTTTTACACATGTAAGACCTATTTTTTTTAATTCAGAATATTTGAAGCATGAAGTCTTAAGAAATCATTCTTCTGGATAGTTGTAAAAGTACAGCCAGCTTGGTTCTGTGTTTAATATCTGTGACAGTTTTTTTAAATTAAAGGTTTGCCAAGCAGATGTGAAAACTTGAGCTTTGTAGTGCCAGCAACTTGAATTTGGGATTTCAGTGCTGTGAAGGCCTCCTTGCCAGCACATGAAGTATGTAGGAGCCCAACCTCGTGGGAGGTCCTAAATGCCTGGCTAAGAAGGGGCAACTGGATGCTGGTTTTTGCTAGGCTATGGTGGGTTTCTGAGGGCAAGGAAGCATGGTGGGTTTTGTTTTGGTTTTGTTTAAGTTTAAAGTCCTCACTTAAGTTCTTCCTACTCTATGTTTTAACAGAAATAATTCCTACTCTTCTAAAATTTTTGAAGCTTAGCGTTTGTTGACTTTATTGTTTGAAGGACAGTTTCCTTGAAGTTGAGGCCACGTGGCATCTGCAGAATCCTCTGGATTATGAAGTGGAATGTATTTGTTGTAGAATTTCTTAGCTTTGAATGATGTGAACTCTTCAAATGTACAGTGATATTTCACTTTGTGAGTTTAGTGGGGATTGTTGTTTGGGGTTTTTTTTCCCCTGAAACAGACCTATTATAAATCTAGTGTCATTAACGGGGTTTATAATCTGTTTTTGCATGTCAAGCAAGGGTGTTCTTTCATAATCTTGTGGGCTCTGAGTTGTTTTCTGTGTTACCTTTGGTTTTCTCTGATTTCACCTTGAAAAAAGAGAAACAGCAAAATCTTACTATGTTCTAAACCATCAGTAATTATACCCAACCACATAAATTACATACCTAGTGTTTGCTTGCCAGACAAAGAGTGGATTTTTTTGCCTTGTGTTCCAAGATAGAACTTGCCTTATCACAGTCTCTCTTTTTTTTTTTTTTTTTTTTTTTTCCCCTCCCTGTTAATTCTCTATAGAGAGATAGAAAAGCCCTGGTTGAAAAGAACCTCGAAAGATCATTTGGTCCTACCTTTCTTTTCCCCATTTTATTCAAACATATGTAGCTTTGTTCTTGTCATATTCTTTTGCTTTTTGGGAGAGGCATTGAAAAAATTTCAGACCTTCATTTTGATGTCTAAAGAGACTCATTTTTCATACCGGTCTTGAAGGAAGGCTGAAATAATGGTTTCTGATGATTCTTCATTGGATATGTTAAGGTTAAAATAACTTGGTTGGTTTGCCCCAGGTATGGTGTTCTGTATTTTTCTGTCCTTAGTAGGTGGCTGATGCTGTTACCTACTTCTTTTGAGAGTTGTTTGGAACTCTGCTATGCCTGCTTTCATACTCTGAGTTACCTTTCCAGTTCAAAATAGGGATAAAACAATTTATTGTCTTCATTAAACACCACTTGATTGACAAACTGATTTGCATCAAACTGAATTTGTGCTAACTAAATTTAAAGTCAATCACATTTCAATTTAAATCTGTTTCTTCTGTGTTTAGATTTAACAGTGATCATTTTGAATAACCATATTGATCATGTGGTGTTAATTTGGTTGTTCTATGGAAAATTTTTACATAGGTAAGTGCATGATTTGTGTACCAGAATTGTAACCAGCAGCCCTTTGAGGGAGAATACATGAGCCTTGGGAACCTGGTAAAATATAAGGCAAAGTATAAGGAGTTACTGCTGCAGGAATTATGGGTTACACCGTGTTGTGAGGTACTGTTAAAGTCTAAATCTATTTTGCTCTTTACAGAGCAGTTCCTGAAACAGTACTGTGATAGTCTACTAACAGAGGACAGGGTTCTTGAAAAATGGTATTATTTGCTACTGATTCTAAAAGGATTAAAATATAGTTGCTGAAATTGACATTTAACAGAGATAGCAAGCCCTTAATTTGTAATATGCAGCATAGACAGATGGCGGTTATGGTAGAAAGACCTTTTAAAAAAAAAAATCTTTCTGGTAGAACATACAGGACTTCACTTCCTTGTATGAGCTGGGTAATTAACGCTTACTGTTGTAAGTGGTATCTGGTAGAACTGAAGGACCTGTGGGTGGCTCAAATGCTGTACCTGATTTTAGCAACGCTAGAACATTACATGTTGGATACAGAGCCTTTCTTTGTTTTACTTTGAATGCCACATTTTGTTTTGCGTTGTCATGATAGATTGTGTAAAGCAGCATCACTTAAGCAAAACGTGGGAAAAGCTTTTTCATGACTTATCTTGAATGCAAGGGAGCTGTAGAGTTCAGTGCAGAACTACTGCTTGAAATTATTAGGTCCTAGCAGAGCAGGGAGGAGGAATGTGCTATCGACCTGTAATGCCTGTATGGCGTGGAGCTTGGGTATCCAGCATGGTCCCAACAAATAGCTTTTGAAAACTGCACAGTGCTTGCCTAAAGCATAGTTATACAGCTGGGACACGTCAATATTTTGAATGTGCTTCCAGCTCATTTAATTCACAGCCATGCTGGGTCTGAACTCAGGAAGCATAGAGAGGTGAGATGTTTGTGCATAGAGTTCCTTCCTTCTGTACAGTGAGAAAGAATAATGTGCTTTAGCAGGCTTTTAGTGTTCCTACCCTCCTCCCACTTCTGTTAGCTCAGGATGCTACAGGCAAATGGTACAGTGCTCTGGCACCCCTTCTATCTGTCTTTTGTATCTGAAAATTAACTCTTGCAAAATAAATTCCGTGGTATTTTTAAGAGCTAATTTGCTTTTTTCCCTGTAAGTAAATTTAACATAATGATTAATATGGTTTCAAAATGCATTGTTGTCATTGCTTTGGGTAGCAAAGCAGAAACATGTCAACCTGAAGGTTATTGGCTCTTCTTGGTGGTGTCTTGCTGATGTTTTAATTGCTTTGTAAAGCCTGCTACAGGTTTCAAGGCTTGCATGACTGATAGGCTGCTACAGGCTCAGCACGTCCTTTTAACTGGAATCCTGCTTCGTGCAAAACGGAAAGTGGCATTGAAAATAAGTATCTGTGAATTTTAAGAGGATTGATGTGTTTTCGTTAAGTCTGCCCCACATCTTTTGCCCCTGGCTGTTCTAGCCATATTACAGCAGACCTGCACTTCGTTTGCTGGTCAAAGCATCAAGGTTTGTGTGGAATTTTCCATGACTGCCTAAGCGCTCTGATACATTTGTGGCAGCTCCCATTACAAAGCTGCTCTGCTTTTTCTCTTCCTTACAAAGCATTCTAGAAATAGCAGACAGATGAGCCAGTGTGTTCACTAAATGTGTTTATAAAGTTAGTCTTTAATATAGAATTAAATCCATGGACGCATCCATTGCTTTTTCTGAATCTTGTAATATTTACAAAGTAAATACATCTTTTAACAGTGGAATATTTATTTCTGTTTAGCTTTCCTGGATGTTTTCCACAAACTACATTCCTCTTGTTCTCTGTTCTGGCTGTGGCTTCTGCAGTGTTAGTTTGTGAACTGCTCTGATGGCAAGGCTGCTGTTGCTGATGCTCTGGGGTTTGCTGTCATACTGTTGTTTTTTGTTGTGGGTTTTTAAATTTTAATTTTATTCCTGTAGCATTGTACCCTTTGGCTTCAGGTCCCTGTTTCTTGATGTATGTGCCAGGTTTAAATTCACTTTTGTTCAATATAATGTGTCTGCAGGGATAGGTTGTCACACACACTTAAGAGCAAAGGAGAGAGATTATGTTTCCGAGACATTTTTGTTGAAAAGGCGCTTTAAAGGTGCTGGGGAAAATGTCTTGTCTCCTATGTGTCTCTCTTCTGAGCCCACAAATACCTGAGTTTAAGTCTCAAAACACTTTCCTGTCAAAGGAAAGGTACAAGAAAAAAGCCATCAGGTGGTTTTGTGTTGCTTTAATTGAAGAGGACAAGATATTGTTTCAGTTGCAGAATGATTTGGTACCAGATCCTCATTGCTGGTATCTGGTCCGTGTGTATGAGTTTCAGTAAAATTTTGATCTGGTACTAGACCTTCCTGAAAATTGTCTTTTCTTCTGTGATAGTACTTGTGCTTTGGACAAGGCTTCCATTATCGTAAACTTTGTAATTTGGCTGATGTTCTCTCTTTTGGGTTGGGGGGGTTGTCTTGCAGTTGGCTGATTGCAATTCTGGCTCAACTCAACCCTCTCTTTGGGCCGCAGTTAAGCAATGAAACAATCTGGTATCTTAAATATCACTGGCCTTAAGGATGTCTGTCCTCTGCTGCAATTTATTGACTAGGTGAGTATGATCAGACTTACTAATATATTTAGTGTTAAATCTTCAGGAGAAATTGAACAGTAGCATAAGCAGTGTGTTCAGAATCGCTGGCTGTTTCGTAGGAGAAAGCTATATTTCTATAGGCTGCAACAAAACGTATTTTGGATGTTACTCTTGACTGGATACTGGGAAAATTGGTGTACAGTTATTTATTTCTGCTATCATGTCATGTGGTGCTGTGTTCAGTAAGCGGGGATTTATAAGAAGAACAGTATGTTTCTTCCAACCAAAAAAAAAAAAAAAAATTGGGCTGGGGTGTCTTTTAATAGCTAGCATAAGTGCATTTCCTAATCTTCAACAATTGTTAAACCTCTCTTCAAGCCTACTAGAATTTCATCCAATCTGTCCTGATTTCCAAGGCAATGCACAGTTGCCCTCGTTCACCTGGGAAGTCAGAGTGAGAACTGCAATTAGAATGGTTCTTTAGCTCCTGTCAGTGTGTAGTACTGACACTGAGCTGACAGATGAATGTTGGTTTGGGGTTTTTTTTAATGATAGCCTGTGTGGAACTTTAATCATAGATGAGCCTGGTGGTTGCTATCTGGGTAGTGCTATAGGAATGCTGTTGTTGCAGTCCTTGGGCACGCTCTCTGACGTGACCAGCAAAAACACGAAATCTTCTACTGGAAGTACCATGATGGCTTCAGGTTTCTCTAAAACGGCAGCATTTGGAGGTGAAGGTTTAAATGAAGGATGGCTGTGGAAAGAAGTACCTATGATTTTAGGTTTTGTGCTGGTAACTGAATAATTAGACACGCTTAATTTTTTTACCTGGATTGGGTTTTTTGTACTTTTAGGTTTAACTGCCTACCCTGTTGCTGTTACTACTTTAACTTCTATTCACAGAAGCCCAGTAGCAGCAGGCAGATGGCAGTTGATGTTATAGCTCAGTTAAATGCTGTCTGTAAAGCATCCTGAAGCAAAGCTCCACTGCTTCAAAGTAGGCTTCATCTAAACTGTGGTGCTGTCAGACTGTGGCATGCGTATGTGCCTGCATCTTAGCAGCAAGCAGAAGCTACAGGTAGAGCTGGCCCTGCTTCAAGTAGAGGCCTGTAATTAGCTAAGTGTTGTGGTTTAACCTCAGCCGGCAGCCCAGCACCAGACAGCGGCTTGCTCACTCCCCAACCCCCCCTCAGTGGGATGGGGAGGGAATCAGAAGAGTGAAAAATATGAAAACTCGTGGGCTGAGATGAAGACAGTTCAATACGTAAAGCGCAATCTGCACGTGCAAGCAAAGCAAACCCAGGAGTCCCGTCACCCCTTCCCGCCGCCGGCAGCTGCTCAGCCATCCCCGGGCAGCACAGCTCCGTCACCCAGAACGGCGGCTGGGGAAGGCCAACGCCATCGCTCCGGCCATCCCCCCCTTCCCCCAGCGTTACCTGCTGAGCACCGCAGGCGTGGAGCGTTCCTCGGGTCAGCTGTCCCGGCGGTGCCCCCTCCCAGCTCGGCGGTAACCAAACCAGCCCGGAGTTACCAACGCTGTTTCCAGCACCAGTCCAAACCAGAGCCCCACACCAGCAACTCTGAAGAAACTGAACTCTGTCCCAGCCAAACCAGCACGCTGGGCCGCAGCAGAAGCAAACCCCAAGGGCTTTCTCAGTACTTCGACCCAAGGCGAAGAAAAATCTTGATCAGCACGCGTGCACAAATGAACTGCAGGGGACAAACCCTCTGAACCTGCATAAAAGAAGTGACATTCAAAGCCCCCCTACTGAAGCAGACTTCGTATCAGTGCCTGTAAATGACTTCAAACCTGAAAATGTAGTTTTCCTCAATTCACAGCATCCCGTTTTTCAGGCTGCAGTGCTGTTCCGGTAGGAGCTGAATTTCTTTCCCCCTGTATCAGCAATCAGAGCCATTCACTGATCCAGTAAATTCACTTAATTGCAGGGCTGTTTCCAACTCACTGCGGCAGCTCTCAATCGTGTGATTTCCAGTCACAGAAAAGTTCATCCAAAACAGCATTACCAACAGCACTGAGGCTGCCTTCAGCTCTACCTCACAAGCACTGCTGAGGGTCAAATCCCCCTTCTCAACCTCTGGTGTTCATGTGAGACCCTGAGACATGACACAGCAAGTTCAGCACTGTGTTTGGCCACAACATGCCTGGTGAACCTGTAAAACATCATCCTTTACTGTCAGATACATAAGATAGTAGAAAAAACCCGTAATTTAGTAGGAGGATTACAGAAAGAGATTCATGGCCAGACACAGCTTAATTCAAATGTCTGATAAAGACTAAATATGTACAGTGCACAGAATTAACATGTTCATTTAAAACCATGAACGCATCTAAGTCAATGCTAAAGATTAGTGGAAGAGACAAAATACAGTGGTCATTAGATGCACGTTTTCAAAATTGCCCTACTCCTTCTAATGTCAGTTGAAACATTCCTTCACCAGGAAAAAGTCTTCAGTTTTCTTACAAGTAAGAAAAGGTATAAAAAGCTCTTTAATTTAATGGAGGCTTTTTTTACATAGCCAACATCAAAACATGAGAATGCGTATTTAAATGCTATCCAGACACAACGTATCAAGACTTTCTAAAGGAGAAGACACAACAATAGGTTTAATTTCAGCAGTTCTTTAATAGCATTGAATAGGAAACCATCTATTCTTGCATCTTTTCGATTGTTTCTTCCTTGTATTTGCCCTTCTCCTTGCCAACCTGGCGAGATTTGGCTTTACGCTCCAAGATCTTTTTGCGATCTTTGTCCAGTTTTAGCCTAGTGATCACCACCTAGAGAAAGGACAAAGAATTTAGTGTCTCCTCAGTGCAACTCTTCAGTACAGCAACTTGACAGAAATGTGGTAACACAGCACGGCCCAGGAAGATCACTGCTGACAGACTGCATCAAATCACCCAAGTTTTATTTCCACAGACTATCTAATTTGGTTTGAGCAGAACAGAGGTACTGAATTGCCTTCTGTATTTCAAAACACTGAGCTATATTAATTTTCCTGGGTACATTCAGGGATCCGAACATATGGACAGTTATTTCAATGCACAGCCACAACATTTGGACTAACTGAAGAGCAGCCAAATTTCTATCCATCTACATAATAGAATAATTACTTTGAAGCAAATCTAATTTCCATTATGCGGCTCAAAGATGATGGATACTGCATCCACCTAAAACACAGCATACAGCTGAGTCTTCTTCCCACCACCACAAAGGCAAGTAATAGATCATTATTTTAATTTCTCCGTGTTTTAAGCAATGCTACCCATACTTCAGAACACTGGAAACCCATGCTGCTGCTGGCCATTATCGAATCGTTGCTGTGCCGTTTGGAATAGCCAATGCATCTGGCTGAACTATAGGCAACACTAAAAGTTCACACATCATAGCAACTCATATAAAGACACTTTAAAGAACAGATCTGCTACTGAACAGTTGCGAAGTGGCCAGGCAGTTATCAAGTATTACTAATATGGACGCATAAAGGTATTTTTTTGCACAGATCATTTGCTACCAGAGCTTTAATAGTATTCCATAACAAAGCAGCAGCAAACTGAAGCTTTGATTTTCAGTCCATGGGCAACCTTCGGTGCTCTTTGTTACCTACAAACTGGCAAAGAAATAAATGCTTTGACATTACTGAAGGAGTATTTTAAAAATACAACTAACACAATAAAATCCTAGAAAAACCATGCAGGCTGCAGCAGGGCTGCACACTCCCACTCAGTTCCACTGTGCTTTCAGGTCTCTTTTAATTGTCATTAATTCCTACCTCTTTACCTAGGAGAGGCAGAAACTGTTCATCCACTCCACTGCAAGTTTACAACAAACAAAACATTCTTCTGCTCCTTTCACATCAATAACCAGAACCTTTATGCAAAGCTTTATCAAGGTCTGATTCTCAGCTAGATAAACTTTCATAGAAATAAAGGACCAGCACAAACCTCAATTTCTTCCACTGCTGTTTACCACACAAGTAATGTGTGCACTGGTTCTATCGCAATGTCACCTTGCTCCTCAAATGTTTTTTCTGCACACAAGTCATTCTGTTGTTTTGGAACAATTCTGCTCTCCCCTTTGCTGAACATACCAACCATTCAGATCAGAAAACCTGTTACAGCTGGATTTCTTCCACCAACATGTTAGTATGCGTGCCCACATGGCAAGGCTGAAGCAGACTAATTTCATCTGCTCCAACCCAGGCTTTGGCTCGTTGTTCTGTTTGCAGTGTTTTCCTGTTATGATCAAAACAGGCTATGCTTGGTTTTCATGAACCCTAAACATTGTAAATCACTTCAGCCTAAAACCAGATTCAGACACACTCAGTTCAAGGTAGTCCACAAGAACAAATCATGACTCTGAGCACCTATCTAAACATTCCTAACACCTCCTTCATCAGTGCAAATGCCACACAGCAAAGATGAAGAACTGTTCCGAACGACCTATTTTGTGCTTTGAAACCACCAAGCTTTTAAAAAAAGTGTTTTAGCAAGACTCTCAAGTCTCTAGCAGCTTCTCCACAAAATAAGCCCTAGAAACATCTAGGAGTTCTTGGTTTCAACTGTCACTTCTCTACTACCATGACACCGTAACATTTCCTTGTTTACTACTCGCCCAACACTGTAGTATCTCAATCCTTTATTCCAGGCACCATAGCAAGGTTCTACTCATGCCAGCAGCAGCATCTTTGTTTGCCAACAACAAGGTCTCCTCACACACTTCAGCTCTCACTTCATGCACCGCACCTTGCTGGGATGGATTCCCACGTGGACAGTTGTGCCATTGGCCTTCTCACGCTGAACACGTTCGATGTAGATGACGTATTTTTTTCTGTACACCTGGACCACCTTGCCGATCTGCTGTCCTTTGTAATGCCCCCGGACAACCTAAACAGGAACATGAGAAGAACACTGTCCCATACTTCAAAACCACCCTTCAACAATTAGCAGACCTTAAGAAACACT